CAAGTTACAAAATAAAAAAAATCAAAAACTAACACAAAAGTTAATTGGAGTTCATAGCAACTCCATCTCAAATCAAAATTGAAAATATCATACCATTTATTAGGCGAGTGGCTTAAATAAAATTCTTCTTTATCAACCAAAAAAAAAAGTCAGTTCATGAAAAATATATCCTTCAAAAAATCCTTTAAATTAAGAATCTGACTCAATTGAAAAGTTAAATGAAAATGAACCATAATCGACTTGGTATTGAAGGAGAAGGGTGATGAGAGTTTCCAACCTAGGCACCACATACGGGAATGAGTTCACTGGATTTTTATGAACCCCACAACTGAAAAACCTGCGCACTGCAAACAAAGCAAGGAATTTTGTAATAATTAAAATGGTCATACAGTAGTGTCTACCAAATTCATTGATATTTATTGATTCTACAAGAGTTCTTATACCCCTCTTATTTCTAAAACTATGGATCTCGAATCAATGTGGGATCTAATGTTTGCAATGCTCACATCAAACCTCTTCTCATTATCATCTCCCAAGCAAAGGTAGTGTAGGTTGCTGTGTTATTTGTTAAGGCACAAGTCACAACCCAAGCCTCATCACATTACCTATGAATGGGTACTTTGGTCCACTTATGTTTCTTTAGATAATTATCTATGGCTTCATCAAAATTGTCTTTGCAGTGCACCTCGACTCCTAGGTTTCTTGGTTAAAGTCACTCTAAAATTTTACACAAGTCACTATAGTAGTTAAGCCATTTGCATATGAAAACCTGATTTTTCTTTTCTTTTTTTTCTTTTTCTTTTTTTTCTTTTTTTGAGAAAGTATTACTGATTCTAATTATTAACTTGGGTACCAATTGAGGTATGGAATAGAACCAACAAACTTGCGCCAGTAGGTCCAATATGGGAAATTTATATATATAATATATTTAAGGAAATTTTCAACTTGTAACTTTGGTACATATTAAAAATGTATTTATTATATTTTTTATTATTAATTTATATAAAAATATTTACTTTAATTTTATCAATTATTTAATTAAATTATTTTACATGTTACTAGTGTTAAATTAAAATAAAATTTATTTTTATAATATTTCATATAAATTAATGATAAAAAAAATTTAATAAATACACTCTTTTTTTGAACATTGGAGAATTGGTTTGGGAATGAGAAGTAAGTCCTGGATTTAGAACTCAAGACATGCTGTCTTAACCCACGCATTCAAGCGGGTGACCACCAAGCCACTAAAACACCACGGGCTGAACTAATAATACACTCTTAATTCGTGCTTTTAAAAAAAATGTTAGACAAGCTTAATATTTAATGACAACTTTATCCTTTTATTGGGCATAATCTCTTATTGCAAATGCTACAAGGTATTCGTTTTGTTGTTGTTCTTTTCTTCTCGTTTTGCTTTTCATTATCAAGATAAACATGTTTTATTAAACTAGATACTGTAAAAGAGAGTAAAAGAGTGGGCTCTCTTCATAGACATGATGCTGGTTTGTATCTATGAATTGATTTGGTGGGTGGCAATGCAGTCATGCCACCTATTGATTTTACTTTCATTCTTTTTGTTACCCTGCATTATATTGGACAGACTTGTGATCTAATATTTCTTTTTCTTCTTTTTATCTTGGTTGTACAATAGAAGGCAACTATCTTCTATCATTTATCTCACCACATCCGCATGCCATATGCATGTAATTCAAACTTATGGTCTTTTACTTCCAACGGAAGAAAATGACTATTGAGCTATTTAGGTCGTTGGTAATATATCTATTCCGTGGCGAATATAATTAAATTAGAACAAAAAATATTGATGAATCCATTTGAAAATATATATATATTAGCTGGTGAGAGATCATATTTGATCTATTAATCTTTTTTTTTTTTTATGGAAATACATATAATGCCTTAAACCAAAAAGGAAAAGGGTTTATTGGGATAAGCAACTTAACTAATTTAATAGTAATTTTTTTAATAGAAATAAAAAATTTAAAATTTGACTTGCATAACATATAGATGGAGTAAATTAAGAGATAAGAGAGAACTATTTTTAATTATACAACTCAAAATAAAAAATTACCAATTTAGTTTTGTAATTTCCACCTTAGATTTCCTTTTTCTTTTTTGTTTTTTTCTCAAATTTTGCTTTATTTGTTAATTAGTATGTATAAAAAAAATGGATTTTCTAACTTATACTCCTAAGACAGAGGTTAAACCTCATTAATTATAATACTTATAATTAATTTTGTATAAATTTTCATATAAGATTTAAATAAAATATAAAAATATAATATAATATAATATAATATTTGTACTTAAAATTT